GACGACAATAAATCGCATGAATAAAAAGGAAAAACAGTTAGCGATGCAGTTTAGGAGACGCGCGTCGACCTAATTCGTAAGCTCCACATTGCTACACTTCACGCCGACTTCCTACACACACACACACACACACACACACGAGAACAACCCACCTGATTTTTTATTGTGAACCACTAGACAATTTAGAAAGTGCGGCAAACAGCTTACTTTGGGACATGACAGGAACGATCACTTCACATTAGGATGGCGAACTCACTTCACTGTGGACAATACATGGGCATCGATTCAGATAGGTCAACTATAAGCGCACATGCGTCCATGAAAAAAATCGTTCAACTGTAGCACTTATTTGGTGCCTAACTGCCATGCCACCCGAAGGAGGCACGAGGGCTGGGATACTGCCAGGTTGTCCAAGCCTAAACAGGGGAAGTCGAGATGCAGAGGTCGGGTTCGAACCACCAGTAAACTCGCGCTCTAACCACTTTGGCCATCGCGCACCATGCGCCCATACCCGTCACCGATCCATGCTGAAAAGATAGCTAGTTTCTTTTCACCTATTCACCACGCCTCTATCTGGGTGGGGACTGCTACACAGATATTGACACCGATATTTTTCCTGGGTTCGTGGTTTACTCCACTCCATGCTGAAAACCAATTCTGATATTAGTGAGATTAAGAAGCCTGATGAGGACGAAGTTGTTAGTCTCACTGGCGCGAACCTCGATTCCAGAGTTCATTTGGCCGCTGCTTGTAACTCGTGCCGCTTTTGGATGCCAAGCAACACCGGTAGCTCATACCTAGTAGTGGATCGTGTAGTAATTGAGGAGGCTGGTTGTTTGAGAACGGACACCAGCTCAGGCCCGCAGAAGATAGAAGACGATAATAGTGGTGTTTCAAGGGAAGAAATGCGCTGGCGACTCATGCAACAAATTGGACGTTATTCAGCCGCCTTAATAAATACAGCTCTCGGGGGCGTCACACAAAACCCACGGACAGCTGCTCCCGGCGACGGCAAGACCGTTTGTGCCTCATCACTTCTGGAACTTACCACAGGAAATAGACGAGGATAAAGATAGCTGTTCGATTGTTTCACGTCCATACCATTCACGTAGAACATAAGCAACGCGCGTTCATCTATTGAAATATTGTCCGCTGAAACATGGAAAGTGGGAATATTAGGGGTGAAAGCGACTAATAAGTGAGTTCATGTATGGCCATATATATCTTGATGAGAATGCGCCTGTCAGCTTAGTGACGGCGATTCAGTCTGGTCAATCGCTTACAACTACCCAACAGGATTGCGCTGAATGGTTCTGTTACTACTGGGCACCATAAGGGCAGAAAACCCTAACCAAATAATTTGCATGATCTACAACTTGTGTGCCCATACCTCGTTAGCACATAGTAGTATAGCAACCCACCTGATTTTTTATTGTGAACCACTAGACAATTTAGAAAGTGCGGCAAACAGCTTACTTTGGGACATGACAGGAACGATCACTTCACATTAGGATGGCGAACTCACTTCACTGTGGACAATACATGGGCATCGATTCAGATAGGTCAACTATAAGCGCACATGCGTCCATGAAAAAAATCGTTCAACTGTAGCACTTATTTGGTGCCTAACTGCCATGCCACCCGAAGGAGGCACGAGGGCTGGGATACTGCCAGGTTGTCCAAGCCTAAACAGGGGAAGTCGAGATGCAGAGGTCGGGTTCGAACCACCAGTAAACTCGCGCTCTAACCACTTTGCCCATCTCGCTCCATGCGTCCATACCCGTCCACCGATCCATGCTGAAAAGATAGCTAGTTTCTTTTCACCTATTCACCACGCCTCTATCTGGGTGGGGACTGCTACACAGATATTGACACCGATATTTTTCCTGGGTTCGTGGTGTACTCCACTCCATGCTGAAAACCAATTCTGATATTGGTGAGATTAAGAAGCCTGATGAGGACGAGGTTGTTAGTCTCACTGGCGCGAACCTCGATTCCAGAGTTCATTTGGCCGCTGCTTGTAACTCGTGCCGCTTTTGGATGCCAAGCAACACCGGTAGCTCATACCTAGTAGTGGATCGTGTAGTAATTGAGGAGGCTGGTTGTTTGAGAACGGACACCAGCTCAGGCCCGCAGAAGATAGAAGACGATAATAGTGGTGTTTCAAGGGAAGAAATGCGCTGGCGACTCATGCAACAAATTGGACGTTATTCAGCCGCCTTAATAAATACAGCTCTCGGGGGCGTTACACAAAACCCACACAGATGCTCCCGGCGACGGCAAGACCGTTTGTGCCTCATCACTTCTGGAACTTACCACAGGAAATAGACGAGGATAAAGATAGCTGTTCGATTGTTTCACGTCCATACCATTCACGTAGAACATAAGCAACGCGCGTTCATCTATTGAAATATTGTCCGCTGAAACATGGAAAATGGGAATATTAGGGGTGAAAGCGACTAATAAGTGAGTTCATGTATGGCCATATGTATCTCGACGAGAATGCGCCTGTCAGTTTAGTGACCTTGATTCAGGCGGGTCTACCGTTTGCAACTACCTAACAGGAGTAGGCTTAATTGTTCTGTTACTACCAGGCATCAAAAGGGCAGAAAATCCTAACCAAATAAGTTGCATGACCTACAAATTGTGTGCGCACACGTCGTTAGCAGGTTTTCCCGGTTGTAACATAGTATACTGCTCAGGAGCCCTGCTAGCCTAAAGCCTTCGGGTCAATGAATTCGCGCTTTAACCACTGAGCCATCTCGAGTACCAAGTGTCACGACTGGCCATCGCTTGTCCCGGCGGGTCTTAGTTCATAGCGAGTATTTCTCACATGACCAGTTCCGAAGCTGTCAAACCGGCAGTTGACGCCTCGTTGAAGCATACTTATCGATTAGTTTGTTAGTCTGTTAGCGAAAAGCAGTTACACGTAGACGACTGGTGCGTGGTTGGATCAGTTTCTTTTGCTTTTCCTCGAAGCGAGTCACAGATGATATTCGCGGTTTTTCGGCAAAACTCTGCGTACTATGCATGATCATCGTATAGTATAGTATAGTATAGTATAGTATAGTATAGTATAGTATAGTATAGTATAGTATAGTATAGTATAGTATAGTATAGTATAGTATAGTATAGTATAGTATAGTATAGTATAGTATAGTATAGTATAGTATAGTATAGTATAGTATAGTATAGTATAGTATAGTATAGTATAGTATAGTATAGTATAGTATAGTATAGTATAGTATAGTATAGTATAGTATAGTATAGTATAGTATAGTATAGTATAGTATAGTATAGTATAGTATAGTATAGTATAGTATAGTATAGTATAGTATAGTATAGTATAGTATAGTATAGTATAGTATAGTATAGTGTAGTATATTGCTCAGGAGCCCTGCTAACCTAAAGTCTTCCGGTCAATAAATTCGCGCTTTAACCACTGAGCCATCTCGAGCACTAAGTGTTACGACTGGTTATCGCTTGTCCTGGCGGATCTTAGTTCATAGCGAGTATTTGTCACACGGCCAGTTCCGGAGCTGCCAAACTGGCAGTTGACGCCTCGTTGAAGCACACTATCGGTTAGTTTGTTAGTCTGCAAGCAAAAAGCAGTTACACTTCGACGATTGGTGCGTGTTTGCTTTTCCTCGAAGCGAGTCACGGATGATATTCGCGGTTTTTCGGGAAAACTCTGCGGACCATGCACGATCACCTTCTGAACACGTCCTGCTTGAGAAAATTTACTGAATGGTACTGCTGCCAAAAACCTAGGGTAGATAACGTCTGATCTGTGACAAGCATAGGCAGGAAAGCGGTAAAGGACTATACCGAAACAACCGGGTTGAATACGAGAAGCCAAAAAATTACTTGGTTGGTCCCCGCGAGAAGCTGTGCACTATTGAGACCAGCCAAAATCGTTCGCTTTGTGGTGTGTTCTTTGGGGTGCAAAACGCACCTCCACTGTGAGGCGAGAAAACGTGGAACCAAGGCAAAACGTTCGGTTCAAGAAGAGAGGAAATTCATCATTGTTCCCCTTTCGAGGGATCATCTCGTAGGAAGGGTTGATCTATTGGTAAACTCCTCTGTGACGTGCTCCCTCAAGACACAGACAGCTGTATCACAAAAGGTGGGTAGATCTGGTCCGTCCTGGTCGACCAGCTTTTATACTACGTGAGTGCACTGGGCTGGAACAAAAAAAACTCCCAAGTCTCGAACACTCGACTATAAAGTTCACAACAGTGTGCGTGCTAGCCGGGAAATAGTGTACCAACCCCAAGAAGCCGGACGCAGACCCGCCTTTTCCCGTGGTACTTACTCTGTTGGGGGGGGGTGTCGAACAAGAAAGACTAAACCAAGTGGCCGAACAGCTGTTGGTAGGGTTACCGAGGGACACTTACCAGGCATAAAGGCATCCGATTTCATCAGACACTGAACGTATAGTGGATAGAGTTTCATGTTCTGTGGTAATACAAGCTCGCCTGGGCTGGCACCGACATCGCCCGGACCGCCGGAACAATGACGCCGATACGCAGCCAGTGTATGGGCGGTACGCGCAGTCAAGTCGTCTACCACATGCGGATGTGCCCGTGTGCACAAAGCACGCATGGCAAATTTGCTCAACCAGTTCATATGAGTATCCAATTCAGCGATGCGGAATATCTCAGGAATGGAACTAGTGGTGGCCAGGGATAGGTTGTGAATGCGAAGGCGGCGCTGGCCAGACAACGAGGTGAACAGACAGGCGACCTGAAGAAATGGGGGGGGCGACGTAAAAGAATCGGTAGTACAACGTCAAATATGTATGGAATAGAACCAGTCAACCACTACTTTGCTGAAAGTTACACACAAATGCTTACTTGAATGAATGCAACATCTTTGTCCTGAAGTTTATCGTCGTGTCTAATTTCCACTGTGACAGCAATGTCTGGATCAACACAAGCGAGTTCGATATCAGTGGTATTTGGGAGGTTGAAGTTGCCAAAGAATTCGACCGGCCTGATCCCCGTACTGGTACGGACACGCATGACGGCATTGAATGCCTTGGGGCGGGAGACGGCTCGTTCCAAGTCGCATAAGAAGTGCTCACTTTGGAGGTCAGCCTATGGAAATAAGATAAAATAATAGGTAAAAGTGCATAATGAGGAATCTTGGGGGTCATTCAGGAGAGAACAACAAATCGGCAACAACCAGCTTAATATAATATATAATATAATATAATATATATATTATAATTACGATATCGATGGAGGAAACGGTCTTGGCGATTCTCAAACTGTAGTATTATGGAAACAGCACATCCAGTTTACAAGACATCTACATCTGGACAGCCGTGGTGAGAACAAGTTTCGTGAGTCGAATTCTTATTCATACGAACTTTTCATGCAAGAGGACCATCATGTTGACCGATTAAGCTGTGCTATCGAACAGATAAATTAGAGCGATTCACACTCCATTGCACAGGCGTCCACACAAGCCGCTCGTGACCGAACGGTGAGGTTTTCAAACCGCACTGCTGATGATTCCCAATAAGGATGTGTCAGGAAGGTTCGATTCCTGAAGACTATCACCGAATAACCAAAGCCTACTGAGACCCTCAAACTCCACCTGAAAGACGATCAAACAGTGCCTTTGAGAATATAGCGTCAGGTAGCCTCGGATCAAGGTCAAACAATGCCGTTAAAAATACAGCGCGAGGCCGTTGTACTTGCACGCGCTAGCTAGTTTGCAGTAAATCTGTTGCATTTCTTGTCGGTGAGTTTTTTCCGGCACTGGAGCGGAGACAGTAGTCAAACAAAATAGAAGGAAACAGCTGTATAGTGCAGCATACAGTGTCAGCATAGAACGACTTCATTTACCAGACGAAATCTCCCAGATACCCTCAAACTACCAGGAATGAATGCCTAATAGGCCAGTACCGTACTGGAGAACACCCGTATTACAAATGATCAGAAGGGAACTGCTAACTTTCAAAGACTATAATGAAGTGGAGATACTGTCAATGTTGATGAGAAGAATGATGACGATCAGGATGAAAGCTATGAAAATAGCGACGAACAATTTTTACAGTAGCACAAAAGTGTGGAGGTTAACACGGGGATTGGCAGGTTCACAGGTTGCTAGCGAACAGATGATTTGCGAGAATGTTGAGTGAGTATGTAACGGACACATAAGACCCCAAGTTGCTTCACCAAGTAAAAGCTATGCGACGTTCACGAAATAGGTGGACGTGGTGGGACACAATGATCCGACAGATACAGTCGAATTGGAACTGTAGAGATGATCTATTCATAAAACAATCGGGATGATCACCAAAAGGACCCACAAGATAAAACAGCAGACAATGGTTCGAGGCCAAATCAAAACCAACCTGAAAGCAGTTGTACTTGTACAAATGACCCGATGTTAACCTGGGAATCTCCGCCAAAGTGGCAACGTCGGTGTACGCGTTGGGAAACAAGAATAGATCCACGCTGCACCCGGCCTCCACACACAACTGCCCCAGTCCAGTGTAAAAGTCTCCTGCAGGCACAAGCATACTCTGAAAAGTGAGTGAGAATACGATGACAGCTAAATTACCGTTCGCTTCAAGGCTTATGCAACAGAGGTAAGAATGGGTTAATATACATGCACCCAGTTTTGTTCGGGTGACCTCGATTCGATGCGATTCGAATTACGCAATGGCGCGACAGTTTTAGAAAGTTTAGGATTACTCTGGATAGCGTAAACATAAGACTGCTAAACATGGAAGCTTCACATCAAACACGTCACCAATGAATCAGAGGATTAGTAGCTCGGATGTGTTCATTGGTTATCGATCAGTTGTTTGTTGATCTGTTTGTCAAGGTTGGCAATTGGTGTACGAACGTTTTACCACTATGTGCGGACGAAGTCTTTTTGATTTGAGGCAAAACACCTACGAGACCATCGGCAAGCTCGACAACCATGTTAAATGGAAGTGAAAAGTGTCGCTGGATTACAATTTCCGGTTTTTGAGGTTTGATCAACTGTAGGAAGCAATCGAACCACGTGGAACGACAAAATTCATTTTAAAACCCGAAATGTCCCAACGAGATTATCAAATAGAAAACATGGTCATCATTAACGTACATCAGGTGCGAGATGGCCCAAGTGATTAGAGAGCGAGTTTACTGACCCGAAGGTCCGTGGTTCGAACCCGACTTCTGCCTCTCGACTTTCCCTGTCTAGGCTTGGTCAAGCTGACCGTGTCCTAGCCCTCGTACTTCCATCGAGTGCAAACGCGGCTAGCCACCGAAAGAGTTTTACAGCTGAACGATTATTAGTATTTACATCAGCTATGCTCAATTCGAAGCTGCCATCACTCACGATTCCAAAGGAGTCAGTTTACCCTCCCACACAGGGGAAACATATCCGACCAATCAGACTCTGCACACGGGAAATTCTATCCGTTCTTGAGACGTACAGTTGTCCCTAAGCCTGTTCGATTCCGAGAGGGGCATCTCGGTACAATGCTTCGGGAAACATCAGAGAAAGTAAGGGTAGCCGAGGAAGCCAATGACATTGATGTTGAGGAGATTTCGCTGGATTAGTCACAATGAGGGTCAGAATTATGCAGTTAAACCAAAACGAAGGAAATCCGGGCATAGGAGCCGAACAAAACAGGAAGCAACAATAATATGGGGATCAAGACTGTCCAAAACAATGAATATATGCAATAGATGGACAGACAAATCTCGATTAAACCAAGAACAGGAAATCAAAGATAAAGACAGAATCATCCATCCAACTTCTCTGTCAGAGGCGTCGGTCAATCGAAGAAATGCGTACAGCGAACGTGTGGTTACGGAGTGGGGCACGACGACGAAACCAGATGGCTAAAAATTACATCTCAAAGCAAACAAACACCAGTCAAACTGCTCCCTTTCCAGTTACTTAACGATGGATGGGCGCCGCCTGTGTGCGGCACGGCACGTCATTACAACAGTAAGTAGAAAATGGAACAATCTATCTTNTATATATATATGGAGAGAGAGAGGGCAAAGTTGTACCACTCCTAGATGAGTATTACCGAATGCCCCATTTAGAACAGTTTGTTTGCGGCGAATTTCATTGCGTTGTAGAACTCGAGAAAGGATCCAAAGTTCAAAGTAGTTCAGAGTGTAAGGCAGGGGCTAGTAAATGACAGATCTGTGGTCCAAACTGGCCGTGCGCTACGTCCACCTGGTAGTCTTAGACAACTAGTAGGTGGGAGATGACCTCTCGTGCTGTTTTGGACTGCAGAAAGACAATGAATGGAAAGCAGTGAAAAGAATTGGAAAGCATCGGAGAGTTGAGAACTAAGTCCCAAGGTTGCTATTTGCTTACCCTCGACTAGCGAAGCACCCTTCGTTGGGAGTGCGCAAAGACCTTTCAATACCATGGCTCGCCCTCGTTTCTAATTCAATAGGATTGAACAGCTGGCCGATTCGTGTGTATTGTTTCGGCCGAGTAGGTTAAGAGCACATCAGTGTTTTGCATGTGACACAGGGCAAAGAGGATAAGAGGATGACCAGTCTGTGACCTCACGACGAAGTAGAAGCCACATTGGACAGCCAAAAATTTAGCACACAGAAATGGATATCCTGAAGAGTTCATTAGAGGAAGTGAGATCAAAATGTTCTCAATGTGACACTATATCCAAGGCCCGTAATCACAGAATGCCTCTTCATCAGGTATGAAGGAACTAACCACTGGAACAATTCAACATGTAGCCTCAACGCTGAATGAGACGTGTGCAACACCGCATAAATCCAGGCCCTGATGAGGAGAGGTAAACCGGAAGTTTGCTGTCTGCTGTATCAGTCCACAAGTGAATGCGGAACCGGTTACGTAGACGGAAACCAACAAATAACTAGATGACGGAAAGACGGACTACGTATCCTTTAGGGTCTGGAGCACCTTGACAATGTGATCAGGAATCGGTAAACATCTTTAAGGCACGTTCGATTTGACCTTGAAGTTCACTAATCATCAGAACTCACAGGTCCACAAGCTCACTAAGGTTACTTCGATCGAGTGGAACAAGGATGACAAATGAGATCAGTCGAATCGGTAGCGTTAGCAACTAACGTTCCCTTCCTTCTGGATGGGAACTCGATTTGATCTAGAGAAAGGAAGTGACTCAGAGGTCCCGAGCTATCAGCAAATATCCGATAGTAGCAATGCGGAGTAAAGCAACAAAACAAGCCCTATTCAAGAAGGCCTTGTACTCGTCCGAGCAAGATTCACGGGTAGATTACCGGTACCCAACTTCCGAGCAATCGGAACAGGGCGACGATAAAAGTTAGGATGTATATACGGAAACATGATGCAGGTTAGACGGGGTGAGGTACTTACTTGCCAAACCGAGGAACTCTGGCAAAAAGAAGATAATTTTGAGGTAATAAAACTGCTCCAGCGCCTACCGGCACTTTATGGCCAGCCAAATCGAAGTACGCACGAAGCCCAACGAAAATAGCGAGTTAGGAGGACATGGAGACACAGTTAAAAACACAAGTGATATATCTCACAAAGAAACTCTGACCAGGCGTCGGTCATTCGCCTCCTTCTGGTGGCATGGCAGTTAGGCACCGAACAGCTGGACGATTCGACTCTAAGAGTTCGAGGACAACGACATGGGGATTTTAAGTTTTAGCATTGAATGGTATTCTCTTACGAATTTTGAGTAAAGTTAGCAATTGCAAAGTGCCCCAGCCACCAGCAAAGCCTCCCTGTCTGCTCGAATAGGCTCAGTGGTTGAGACACAAACTTACTGACCGAAGGTTAGTGGCTACAACCCAAGTTCAGAATCTCGACCACTCCCGTCTAGGCTTGGGCAACCTGGCAGTATCCCAGGCCTCATGCCTTCTTCGAGTGGTACGGCAGCTAGGCACCGCAAAGGTGTTACAGCTGAACGGTTATATTAATTTTTAATACTAACATCCCATGAGGTGACGAAGGCCTTTGCTACTGAAAACGGTCGCCCGTGTATCAAGTGATCTGATCAACCAGACGGAAGGAGCTTTTATTGGCGAAAAATTCAACAAGAAAGATGGCTCAGCAGTTTGCTCACCAAATCGCCGTCGGAAGAGATGGGGTGATCACTTAAAAGGCCAATTCAACTGACTCCTGAAAAGCAACTCTCAAAGACAATAGAGGAATCTGAATGAGATGTGGAGCATTGACATCTTGACATGAAAAAATCGTCGACTGCTTCAAGCAGCAGGCCTGAATGGGTCGCATAGGTCTTTCTTTTGAAAAAAAGGCAGAGAAGCGCTTGTAACGTGTCTTCCCAGACTTTCTAGTGTTGTATGGAGCAAAGAAATCGGGATGGGAACCAATGAACGGGTTTGCGAGAGCAATTGCAGCACCCGAAGTTCTCTCTGGACCCGCCCTAGCGAAAGCCGGTGCGAAGAGAAAGAGAGGTATGTTTGAAAGCCAAACTGCAAAGACCACACCTCCATCCTCTGAAGAATACTAAAACAACAGCGCTGAATTCAGCGGCCAATGGTCATCTTTCCAGACTGAGTGGATGAATTAGACGCCATTGATCGTCAGACACTACACTAGTTTGTAGAGTAATGGTGTTGCTACTAAAACGGTGAAACACTAACTCCTGTGACGGTGGGATTTCGCTCGAATATGCCATATTTGGTGAGAGCAGGCAGAGCTATCAACTCCCTCATCATCGACAGCATGACATCAGTGTTTAACACCGACGCTTCACTGCCCTTTAACTTGTTTCGATTTGACCATGGAAGAACCCTGACGCCTGCAGAGTTGAAATGGCTCTCGGATTCGTCTACAGACACTATCCATGCAGACGACACAATCGAGGAGAAAGGACTGCACTTACCTTTTCTTTCTCAGTGCCGACAAGACGCCGATCGTCTCGATTTTTCAATTTTCCTGGAGCTTCCGCTGTTGGAAGATTGGAATGGAAGACAAACAACTTCCCTGGTCGATTGGCTGCACGTAACGTCTCTAGACCAGCCTGTATTGCCGGACCCAGCATCGCGTCCGGAGCAGATGATGCCGAATTGGAACTGAACTGCACAGGAATTAGGCTCAATAGGCTACTGATAGAGGAGGCCTCCGGTGGGACTAGAAAGCCTTCTATCGTTGGGACGAAAACGTCTTCTACGTCGGCAACAATGTGCATCTGTGGCTTGACGTACACGTCGGCATGGTGGATGCTACCCTCGGTCGTACCGTTGCAAGCAGTTTCGGGAGCCAAACTGTAGAAATGAAGCTGATGATCATAGGTCATGAATCCCACTCTGATTCCAGACGCGCTTTCCGGAGCATTGTCATCCCTAAATCGTGAGATATTAGGTAAGTCGACCAGTAATATGTGTACGGGAGAAGAATTCAAATAAGTTTGGTAGCATATGCAGCTTAGAGAACTTCAGTCCCTATCCAGTATGCTATACGTGTGTTGACTAACAGGTTCTAGTCAATGGATTATTCGAAGTGGTACGCGTCCCGTTTGCAAAAAAGAAAACTGATGGCGAGGGACTCATCGCTTATTCACCACAAACGGTTCGAGGAGCTTACATCCCATCCCACTAAGTAGTTAGACAAGCTGGATGGAAAAATGGACCTGACCTCAAGATGGTTCAGTGGTTAGAGCGCGGAATTACTGACCGAAACGTCCGTGGTTCGAACCCGATCTTTGCATTTCGACTGCTCCTATCTAGGCTGGCAGTATCCCGGCCCTCGTGCTTCCTTCGAGTGGTATGGCAGTTAGGCACCAGGAAGGGTTCTACAGCTGAACGAATATTATCTTCATTACATGTGAGCCTGTAGCCACACTGTGAATTGTCTCCAGCCAAGCAGGTCAGGTGGAATTCACTAATCAAACCGACAGCAACTAAACCTTAGGCAACCTCATCTGTCCAGTCACTGTTGATGCATACCAACCTGGTATGAAGAACAACGCTCTTTCTGACAGCTTGCAACTTGACAGGGACAGCACACGCGTGATTCAACAACGGGGTTTGTGCTAAGGGTGTACTGAATTATGGACCACCAGGCGCTCCAAGTCCTACCCATCAATATCGCCAGACTGCTTGCAAAAAGGGTTAAACTGTAAACAACATATAATAGACGGTGTGTGTGTGTGTGTGGAGCCAGCTGAACACGGGACTCGGTGTAAGCCGGAATGATAAGACCATGATTCCGTGGCTATTCGAGGGAATTTTGGGTGGAGCAGGAATCTACACATCTTATTGTTAACAACCAAATTACGTCTTGTCCGAGAAACCAAGCACAACTTCAGGATGTTGAGAAGTGTTTTAACGGTCTCATCTAATACATACATCGTGCTTCCCCATATCACACATGTTCCCATCGACGATCAGAAAGTATGATACAATAAGACAAACAAATGAGGCGATGTGAGAACGAAATGTGAACAACGAGGGAACACCCTACGACTGATCGAGGAGTATGGATATTGCAGAAATTGGACTGTGAGGTGAAATGAACAACCTAATCACACACACACACCACTCCAATTTTCTGGGTTGTTTCGAAGTAATGTTCAAAAGCATTTCAATCATGTGATCTAGAATTTTCACCCATTTCGTGTGGAGAACCGCAGATTGATGAACATTTGGTCATATAACATAGCGATATAATCCCAAATATAGGGTTGAAAACGCCGCAGTCGATCTGCTTGGTACCAAGTCAACACAACATGCATGTGCTTCACACCTGTTAACTGGAGAGTGTTGCTACAAGACCTGGTGGGATCGAACCCGAACCTCATGCTTGCAGGCGAGCCAATCGACGTGGTATATAAATTTGTTTACCTGTTACCAGTTAGTTAGGTTTCGGTGGATTGGCCAGAGATGAGATTACCCCTCGAATCTTGAAGGCCAGGGCAGTTTGTGCCAACCTTCGACAACTATGGCGCCGACGTGACGTCAGTTTGTTTGTCAATGGCACAGTTTACGCTGCGGCAGTGCGATCCACACTGCTTTATGGATGAGAAACGTGGCCTCTACGCACAGAGGACATACGAAAGATGTCAGTGTTTGACCATCGGTGCCTTCGAAGCATTGGTTGGGTCTGGTGAGAACACCGGATTAGTGATGTTGAGGTGTGCCAGATGGTCCTAGGAAGAAGGAACTCTCTCACGGTAGGTGAATTACTCACGCTTCATAGGTTACGCTGTTTAGGGCATGTATCCCGCAAACCAGACGAACTTCCGGCTTGCAGAGCTCTTTTCCCCTAGCCCAATGCTGAGTGGAAGCGATCGAAAGGTGGACAGGGTACGACCTGGCAACGACCTGGTCACGTCGACAAGTGCTGCCTCCTTGGATGGGGGCCCAAGGACTCAACTCACCAAAGGTTAATGACACTGGAACAAATTGTCCAATCGCAAAATCAGTGTCGCATCGAAGCTATCGCCTTCACCCAGTTCTCCAACTAACCTAACATCTCATCACTTCTAATGCTCGGCTGTATGTCTCACTCTCCCGTTTTCCGCTGATCAAAACTGTAGCAGCTGGAACCAAGGTGCCTATGGAACACGGTTTAGAGCTGAAAAATTGAATTGAATTAATTGACTAAGAACTCACTATAATGCATAATACACGCAGATATTCACACGAAAAGTCCCGTTTATCGATCAAGGACATTAGCGAAGACAGTTTGGAACCAATAAAAAAAAATTGCCAGCGTCAATTTAGGAAACACCACACGTACATCCCTAGTAGGGCTTTTGATAAACTACATATGAATACGCACAAAATATACACAAAAATAAAATAGATCCTGATGTACTCCAGAACCGTCGTACAGTTGTAATACTCTTGCAACGAAGACGGATTTGATCGCTTTAGGGGCGTTTGACAGCACGCCACAGTCATTGTACGTGCCCAGAGGTCTACTTTGATTATCACCCTATTTGAGGCACTAATTCGGATGGAACTAGTTCAATAGTGACCAGGATATGTGCACGAGTGAGTAAAATACACCTACTTTGGGAGTTTAGGCAATATACGCTCAATGAACTGTGAGCAAAATAGCTGTACAAGTCCGGAACGAATCGACGTTTGTGAGACATCCAGCAAGAAGAGAAAAGCCGGTGGTAACGGCAGTTCATTGTTCTTGCAATATTCTGCTGTGGCCGTGAGCTCGTAACTGCCAAGACACAGTTCCGGTCGGTGGTATGTATCAGTCCGGCGCCCGGTATGATCCAAGTGGGCGAAGTAGTTAACCGGTACTTCTGTGACTCCACCGCACAATGAGCATTGGAAACGTCGGCCACCATCAATAAAGCTCGCAAACGGATTCATATAGGCTCGGCATCGCATACAACGGACGGGACCCTGAAAGCACGGCAAAAAAGAGTGAGCAGAACATTGGTATGCTATGAGCAAAGCTATGACAAAGCGTGGTCATATAGGTCAGTCGAAACCAATTCACCTGTTCACCCATGTCGCTAACCACAATGGGTTGGTCATCAGCATGCAGGGATGCGAATGGAGAAATCGTCAGTGTGAACGGGATGCCAACTGTCTTCATCAAGTCGGACGTGGTCGGAATCGCGTAGAGAGAGGACCGGATGAAACGAGGGTTGCAGTTGCCCTCATCACGACAGCTGAAATCGGTGGTAACCAATGGAGGCAAGACGCTGCGCTGGCTGGTGAAAAAGGGACCTGAACATTGCGTTCGGTTTGATTCGATTACCTGTGGGAAAGAAGAGGATTCTTTCAGAATGAACCCAGCACGCGTTTTTCTGCAGGAACAATATTTATTTATGGGGTGAAACAATGGCTGTGGAAGTTTTGCTGGGCAGCAATCGCACGACATCTGCAGCTCCTCGAAGGGCATAATTGATAAAAAAGGGCGAATAAATGTGGATTAGTGCGAAAGCCTGGTTCTATTTCAGTAGTTCTCATGATGTTGATCGAAACTGTTATCTTTTGGGGTCAAATCAGGCGAGTTCCCGTGTTTGCTATTTCGTCCGTGAGCACCAGGTTGACCATATACGAAGCGGAACACTCATGAAGCTAGCTTGGGATTCCAACGTGCCTGCTGTTTATTTGACTGTAAAGTTAACAACACCAAATAATTGTCCAACTCCACATGGGTTGTTCTAATATTTTGCTGCATTAGACGTGGCGCTACATAGGGCTAGAAAACGTAGTAAAAGTACTACCAGACAATTTTTGGATGTGATGGGAAGCATAGTATGAATGATCCCATTCTGAAGCAGCCATCATCATCATCATCATCACCGACAACACTAAGTGCTGACGCTTGAATTCCGAAGCGGAAAGCTACTGAGTTCGTGCCGCGGTCGGAATTCCACAAGAGCTTTAAGGTGACCTAGCTTCTCGTTAAACTGCTGGGGAAAAGTGAATATCGATGCCAAGAAGAGTCATCATTGTTTCTCTTCTAGAACTTCGGCGCTACTCTCAAGTCATAAATCAGGCAGTGAAGTAGAGCAGCAATCAGCAGAGCACAGGATGGAGTTGGATATTACGTACAGTGTAACATATGAATATCAAATATAGTGGCAAAGCTATTATAAGTGAAATTTCCCAGGACATTATGGCCTCAGTCCAATAGAGGTGGTACGAAATGCAACGACAATCCAAGTCAACTGAGGATAGAGGAAGGATACGCTTGAGAGGCGTGAATTATTGTGATGAACCCACTAGTGGACGTTTTCGCACTCACAACCGGCACAGGAATGCGCTGTCCCAGGATCTAGCAAATACCCCAGTTGGAAGCTCACGTGAAACTACGGACACCTTTTCCCATATGTTCAGTTACCATAAAACTACTCCGAGCCTATTCTTGATGGTGACGAAATTAGCCATGATAAATAGTAGCAAACAAATACTCCGTCTTATTTGATCGGATGATGCAGTCCAGTGGCGGCTCGTCCGTAGCGAAACTGAACCCATATGAGACGGTAAGGCAAAAAGTAGAAGAGACTCATTAAGATCGATGCCCTTAGTTGTTTGAAACGCGTTTTTCGTTCCAAACTACGTTCAAACATTTTAGTTGAGACTATACTTGGGCGGCGGATCAATCTATTTTGAGTACCATGACCTTCGTCTTCTTAGACAGAATTAACCGTAGAAGTGAGAAGTTCGCAAAGCCGTATTGTTTCGCAAGTAGTATGTAAGAACACTTGAAAAGTAAGCAAATCAAAAGGCAAGATCACGACGGCTAGCACCGTCCTATCAAACTGAATAGGGTACTGCGTGCTTTCACTTACGTATAAAAAGATTAATCTCTCACCGCTACTAGATTTTTCATGGCAAATCTTTGGCAAATCTTCACGATTTTTTTAAATTGGAGGAGTATGGAGAAAGTAAACTGATTTCTATGTGCGGACTAGTCGCGGAATATGCTAATCACCCTTCAGTATTCAGCGAGCTTTCCAACGAGTGTAAACCAGTGGCAACCAAATCCAGAAAGCATTCTTCTCAGTGAAAGTATAGCTGAACCATCAACTTCTGCTTGACATGTAATGAACATAACGAACGCTTAGTAAATGATTACAGCAACAAGGCATGAACCACCAGATATCCCACATGGGAAAAGAATAATGTAACGCTTTTAAGGCCACCAGCCTACCAGTTTCGTTGCATTCCATTTGGAAGTCGGCCTATCTGTTGAAACTGACGACTTCGATCGTTTTGCATCAATCTTGACCGCAACATCTGCGCGTCAGCTGCCGCCGAAGGTTTCAAGCACCTAGAAATCAATCTTCAGGCTTCGATGCCCAGTCTATCTGATGGTCTTTAGTGTTAGCACCCTAAAGCAAGAAAGGGAAAGCTACTCTTACTCTCACAACTGACTCGCTTGACGTCAGTATGCTGCATATCAGAAACAAAGATTCAAGATGCAATTAAAGTCACTAAGCTAACTACCCCATCACTCTCTACTCACCACTTCAGTGGCCGCTACGGCGGGGTGTGCAGGGCCGGTATCGTTCTAAATCACTGAACTGAAGGACCCTTGCTTGGCTGCATACCCATAAATAGTCGCATCTGTACGGTTTGTCCGGCAACCTCGTTGAAGGAGCCCCATGATCAGGAAGTTGATCGCTATCTGTCGTGCCTGCTTACGCTCCAACAGACTGCACTTGACATCAGAAAACTGTTGTGGCGAATTGAAGGACTTGTTACGTCGAACTAAAAGCTCAGATATTGTTGCGGTTCCAGGAGATGTGAATGCACAAGTTGAAAAAATGGGAAAATGGTGAATCTGGAACTTAATTAAGTGGTTGAATTGGATTAGAATCACTATGTAAGGACAACGGCAGTCAGCTACTTTGGCTGCGTCCTGACCACAGACGGTTGGTATCCAGTGCTAATTTCCGAAATTACCAAAGTCTTCGGGCAACATGGTACCCTCCAACAATATACCAGTCAGGAACCCGAAATGATCACAACGCCATCAATTACCGATGTGGTAAATCAATGACCGATGGCCACTTGTTTTGCAACCCTTATGTGGATTTTGACTATGCGCTCCTCTAGAGTCGCCTCTCTCTTCGCACTCCAGGGCTTGTACTGGACGGAAGACTAGCTTAGCAACTGAAACTGGCAGATCCCGGAGTTAATTTTCTGAAATAACTTCCAACTGCTCGACTCTCAGACGTGAAGTCGTACTGGAACAAGATCGCCACATTTACGCACAGCGGTTTCACATGTGGCACCAAACCTCTCTGAAACAATGACTATCCAATGGGTCCAAAACATTTTCCAATTGATTGAAAATTCATCTAATTATATTTCAAGCCTTAGAGTGAAAAAGAAAAGAGTGGGAGAGGCACTCGAAATTATGGAGCGTTTTATGTGCTTCAGAAGTTGTGTGGGTCTCCCGTGTAATGTGGCAGATGGGGTCAAATGCACGAATCTCTAAGGCTCGGGTGGCGTTTCCTAATTTGGAATGCATGTGGCGGCAAAGGGGCATATTCCTAATTATTAAAAGGATGTGTGTATCAGTGTGGACACGCGGTTGTTTTGTTATATGGCTGTGAAACGCGGCTTCTAAGAGCAGCATAAGAGAGCATCCCGAGAGTATCATAGTCCTGATACTGAGGCAAGCCTGCAGTAGAGACCGAGCTCAGTAAGAGTGTGTACTTAGCTCCTTAGCCATCAATATTACTTATTTGGGAACCGAACAGGCTTTCGGAATTGTCTTTGAATGCCTTTGAGCAATCCGAGGGATTGCAGGTCACTGATTCTTTTTCATTTGGGTCGTAGGTATCCATAGTAGTTGATGAATGAACAAGCCTTTGTGATGCGCAACGTTTCCAACTCTTGGATTTTGCCGCGAACACTCATTCACAAGGAAAAAGATGACTGCGACGGACTCGTGGATGGACATGGTAGACGATAGCCCTGGAGTATGCCATATTCATGTGAACTTATTTGGGAATATCAGGAATCGCCATCATCATCCGATCGTTGTCAATAACGGCATCAGTGCGGTGCGTCACTGCTGTACAAGTATGTCAACTTAGTTGACTAAAGCCTTACAACGGGGAAAAGAATAACGGGATGGGGATGGGGACCTAGAGCTAGCCTGTCACGAACATTCATAGCGTCTACAACTCCAACACTCCATCAGACAATCCGGATTGAATCTCATAAAATGAATGCCACCGGCATCGGCTAACTACCGTATCACTAAGTGTCTCCAGTCAAGAACAGGGATGGTAGTAGAGAAAGGTAAACATCCATATTTTTCGTAACATTCCTCATTCCCTTCTGTCATAATATATTGCCTACCCACATGGGATTCCGCACGCCAAACTGAGCGTGAAGAGCAATGGGTTTAAGACAAACAGTAATTCGACATGCACAACACATGGTCCAACTGCGCAGTCCTTGAGCGCAGCACCTACTGACTGAAAAACCCGTTTCTTGATAACTTCACTGCATGTCAACTGATTTCAACCGACTCCACTCGGTCGGAGACATGAGGAAGTCTACTATGCTTCGCCTAGAGTGGCCAAGTCCGGCAACCAGGATTGTTGGAACCCATAGGCATGCCGTCGCTTATGTCGATATCTTACCTTAGAAGGTGCGTTCAGCTTTGCTGACCTGGACGAAAAATTATCCAAGGCATCAAATTCTGGTTGTTCGAACAATGTCCTCTCTGATTAAAATTGATTTGGAAGTATAGTTCCACAGGGTTTAGTTGTAGGGCGCCTCCTTTTTCAAGCCTTCAACAACCAACTGCCAACAAATGAACGATCCTAAATCTTTATGTTCGTTGACGAAGTTGAGATTCAGTGATCGATTTGGGGAACCCAGGATAGATGAATAAACGGGTCCAGGCAGCTTTCATCAGGTGAGTGGAAAAGCGACAGCCCCTTGACATTAAAAATGTGCCATGCTCCCCCTGGGCTGCTCGCGTCTTGAGCCACACATGCACGGAGATGAACCACACAGGACGGCATTTTGGCGTTCTCGTGCAAGTCTTGAGTGTTTCTTAAACTACACCGGGCAGCTTTCACTGCCGAAGACTTTCGAAACACCTGCTTTCACGGACCTCAAAGATATTAGCCAGGTTAAAATTGGAACATGGTTGAAACCTAGAGTCCACGGACAAAATGTGGAGGAAGCTATGTGAGACAACCACGGAGACGAGGCAATAATTATGCCAGACATCTACATATCGCGTACTGGCTGATGATGCTGAGGAGATTTCTCACGCGATATCTCTGGCTGCGCAGAGACTTATTGCCAGTTTACCCTCACCAGAACTGGTAACGGTCTACTACAATCAACACTTGTGTTCCCAAAATCAAACCACCTTGAGGGCAATTCCTTACGCTTAGCACTCTAGGACAGTCATTTTGATAGTAAAAATAAGCAAGCACTTGCTTTTATTAGAAGTGCCTTCTGGATAATACTGCTCCCGTGTAGCTTCTACCTATCTTTAAGATGTGGAGCTTTTTACTTAGTGAAGTTCATCCATGAGTAATGATATCACTTATTCTTACACTAAAGTCCAAACTTGACCACATCCGACTATGCAAACAACATAACTGTGTAAGCAGTTTACGTAAGTTCCCTCGTGCAATACTAAGAAATCCGTTTCTCAAGGCCTGTGGTCATCGAGAATTTGCTAATATGAGGGTGCCAGCAAATGTAGAGAATCATACCTCCACAGCGCTCGGTAGTCCTTCAGCGCTTATTCTCTTGGTAGGCTGCGTTGGGGCCGCTGGTGGGCCGTTCAGATATTGAGGTTGAACACCAGGTGGGTGGGATTTATTACCCAGCGCAGCACTTGGAGGGTACTGGGGGTACCGAGGCATTGGTGGCTCTATCGCCCCTTGTTGAGCCATATTCGGGCCAGGTGGTTGTGGCGGCATGGGAGGAGACATTGTTGGTGGCATACTTGGAGGGTAGTGGGTCGAATGTGCTGCTTGACCCGAGGGTGGGGGGTAGTAGGGTGTCTGTGATGGAGGAACTGTTGGTGGATGTTGAGGAAAAGCGGAGGGATTTTCCTGCTGGTAATAAGGCGGTGCACCATAACTCATTTGGTCCAGGGGTTGTTGTTGCCCTGGTGAAACTTGATGGCCTAGATTCATGGCAGCAAATTTGTCAATTGGTGGAGGCACAGGAGGAAGCGGTGGACCGGATCTACAAGCATGTCTATTAAAGACAATGTCGACATACTGATGGGGAAAATAACGGCCATTTGCACTTTCTTGTACGTGGAATCCATCGGGAGCGGTTTCTAATGGATACATCAGGAGGTGAGTTCAAAAAACGTACGTAATTCCCAAGGGCGGGAGCCTGCTACACCACCATGTGGCGGGAAAGGTTGCGAAGGATATTGTGGAGGGAACATGCTGGAGTATTAGCTACAGTAACGGCACGACGGCACCGCAATCTTGGTCAACAAATTAATCAAGTCATCCAGCACCAATGACGTATCCAGAAATCAAACAGTACGGGTGACCTTGAAATGTCCTTTTGATCCATTTGTTTCCATTCCTCTAGACATCAGGCGGAAGTGCATAACCACAGAGTTTGGTAGGCACAAAAGCTCCAGTAGACGCGAGCACAGATTGAGTGGGTTAGTCTAATACTGAAATACCTCTTTTTGGGCTGCTTAGCCCTGATTTCTTGTAGGAAACATCCTGGTGTTCACGGATTCACCGAGGGATCGAGGCCTCCACGTCTGCGGTCCACCTGAAAAGCCCGAGCGAAAAGGGGTTATTGCGACTTTACCGTTCTCTTTTCTGAGAATAAGGATTGATAGAGCTGAAACTCAAATAAAATAGCGCCCAAATTTGCCTTAAACGACCCCCCAAACGTAGCATTTGCAACCGTCACGGATTCACTAGTCGATACACAGGATCGAGGCTTTTGCCCAGGTTTCCCGGGTCGGTTTTGTTCTTGTCGGTCAGTGGCCGTCGTTCACCTGAAAGGCACAAGTGAAAAAAGTGTGTAGAATGGCTCTTTATGTTCTCATCGGGGGCAGTATACTTGCCAGCGCGAGGATTCGCATAAATAAATAGTTTTAAACTGGGTTCTAGAGGGAGCGTGTACAACCGTCGAGGGAAGGTTATTCCACGCAGCTACTACCCGAAATGAGAAAAATTTTGTCTGATAAATTTGTGTGCTCCGAGCTTGAAAATTTTCTTACTACGTCCCTGCCGTGTGATTTCTGGAACAACGGTGAAGAACCTGTTTTCCAAGCTTTGTTCAAACAGGGCGTAAGAATTAGGTCCCCTCGGAGGCGACGGTACTCCAGGGGAAAGAGATCAAGGATCGCGAGACGCGTTTCGTAGTCCACGGATTTGAGGCCGACAACCATTTTCGTAGCGGCCCACTGGACACGCTCAATAAGGGTGTGCGTCCTGAGTAGACAACTTGGTTGGCGCACTCCAGGGACGGTCTGAGGTAGGCCCCATAGAGGTATTTGGAAGTCCATGCGAGTAATACGGGAGAAGGTGCGTCGGATCATCCGTAAAATGGCGAATGCCTTTTGGGCCAGGTTCTCATGGTTCAGTGAGAAGGACAAGTTTGAGGAGACCCAAATGCCCAAATCCTTTTTGGCCTCCATCCTCATGATGTTTTCTGGTCCCACCGTTGAGAGGCGTATAGTCCAAGCACCAACTGCATGAAATGAGAAAAAACTTCCATCTGGTAAAACTTGGCCGCCTGAGGCTGAAAATCTTCCTACTATGTCCACACCGGGTATCAGTTGTATCAACATTGAAAGCCTGTTGGCCAAAACTTCGTCCTACAAGGCGTAACTATTAGCGTCCCTTCGGAGGTGACGGTGAGTGAGTTAAATCACCTCAAGGCGCTTTTCATAATCTACAGATTTAAGGCCAGCAACCATTCTCGTAGCAGCCGTTCGAGCATTCTCAAAGACGGCCACATCCTTCGTGCTTCCCGAGTGAACTACTTGGTTGGCGTATTCGATCGTATCTGAGGTCCATGCGGGGGAAGGTGCGCCGAATCATCCACATAATGACAAATGCCTTTCGGGTCGACTTTTTGTGGATTGAGGGCATGTTGGACGAGAGTCGGATACATGAAGACTTTGATGTCTGGTTTCCATCCTCAACACGCACTATGAAAATAGCCCTACCCATTCATCCTTTCATATTTGGACGCCGTTTTCGTCATTCATATGAATGTTCCTGGCAAATGACAAATTCTTACGCGACTGCAACATTGATTTGGAAAGCGTTGGCGTCAAAACTCCAAGATTCCAGGCTCTCCGTAATAAGTTGACGTGGACATGAAGGCGCATATAGTAGGCACTTTAAGTAAATCAAAACAGGAGTAGTCCCTGACGTAGCCGAGAGTAGTTGCTGTGGATGCTGATCGATACTTTTTCGACCCTCACTAAAAATACTTTACTTTAAAAGAGAAGCATTAAGGGCAGAAATCTACCCAGAATTCCGCAAGCCTTGAGTTTGTTAGGCAGTGGAATCCGTGGAGCTCGTTTCATTGTTCCTCAAAGGTAAAAAAGTAAGGTGACCGATACGCGACCGTCGTTCCTGGTTTGCGTATAGCTATCTATGAATACGGGCACGTTCGTCACGCAGCAACGCTTCGGGAGGGATCATAACTGCACCGTGGATCATTGAACGCCATGCTCATGTTGAATTGTTTGATCATGCCTCATTTTGCATGTTCCTCACAATTTGGAAGGTACACCTGTTTCTATTCTCATGCTCCTCCTATTATCCTAATTTGAAGAAAGTCAACCCACAGCTATACTTCTGGTTTCTGGTGCGGGCGTGTATATAAAAGTTATGTTCGACACCAAGCACATTTCCTCTGATACGATACCTCACAGGATACTAATAATTCAAAGCTCTCAATCATTTCCTGCTTTCCTCTGCCCATCCGAAGAAACTTGGCCAAAATCAGTGTGTGGACGAGACTTGATATTGGAGTTCAGACGCATCGTATCCGTAGGAGAATTCACATGCAATCTGCAGGCCGATGCGTTGTATGATTTGTAGACCTCAATTATTCACATCATTGTGCCAACTTCAAGCACGCATTTGAAAAAAAATTTACCTTCTAAAGCTGATCACGCCATTGGAAAATCTACAAACTCCCAGCTGTCATACATTTCGCGATGTCAAAGGCCTCAAATTTGGACTTTCAAAGAGCTACGTGGGACTTTTATGTTGAAAAACACCAAGTGCTCTATCTTGAAGGGGGGCGTGTACATAGGTAATCTGGTGGATAGTTTGGAAACCGGCCTTGACACGGTAATGAATGGCGCTAGACAAAATCCAGCATCAGTGCAGAAATGAACCGCTTGGCATCTTCTATGTCCTCTCCATAACGCCATGAAAAAATGCACGCATTGCATTAACTGCCATAAACGTGGCACTGACGCCTGAAAGCTTCGGGGGGCTTTATGGCTTTACTACGAGAATGAGACCTTTGCCACAGTACACAAATTCGGTGGTTTATTCAGAATACAAATGCATTACCGTTGCGTCAAACTGTAAAAATGCCAAACCACAGAGCGCTTGCCGGCCTCAGGTTTTTAGAAGGTCCCAGGCACCGTGGGAGTGCATGGGCTTTGTTTGATGTACATCCGATATCCCCATGGTTATCCATTCTTAATCTACTAATAAGGGATCGATCGCATCAATATCGTAACACTTTACCTAAACGCCAACGGGAGCGTCATCAGAGGAGACTTTTCTAAGCAAAGGCACGAATTTTCTGTGGCAGAAATCTAATCGCTATGGACTGTAAGTGCGTGAAGCAGCTTACCTTGACATGTTGCCACCGGTTATTCAAAAACACACACCAGTGTCTATCAAGTTGCCAACTTCTGTGACTTTTCTATTCCGTGATACTTTATTTGGTGTCAAAAACCAGATCTGTCTGTATTTAAAGCTCAGGTGAAGGGAGAATCTCGGAGAGCCGACAACCACTTGCCAGGCCCAAGCGGTCTCCCTTTACAAGTCAGTGAATAGGTATATATGAAGACAGCCCGGGTCCACTTGCAGAATTTAACCAGAAGCCGTCAAAATCACAGAGGGACAAAATCCTCCACGCCCATTTGTGGAAGAAACGTGCTCTGCAACGATATGAGATGTATTGGAGGGCTGGTTGCCGTAGGTGGCATTTCTGGGTAATTGTTGTGAGGTAGAATGACCAAACCAAATGGGCATTTTGGTCATTGCGAGGCGCTGATACTCCTCCACCTGGGTATTTTGGAAATAAATCTGACCGATTGAAACGAAAACACCGACAAAATGGTTTTGATGACTACTTGGTTTATGCCAGGATTGTGAGTTTTGAGGTTCAATAATTCGAGTGAATTACAACAACCCAGGATTGTAAAAGAACGCAGTTCAACTGTAAGTCTATATTATTCTCCTTCTTTGCAAAACTAGCACGGGATTTGCGCCTTACTGAGGTAAACACCAGCTGGATACTTGCTTGTCGGTTGAGTGGAGGCTGACAAGTATGCTCGGAAAAGTAACATGCCCTTGAAATGTGATCGAGTAGCAATTTTTCCGAGACAAGTATCCACATAAAAAAGCAACCAATAGTGATTTGAGCTGAACCCGACTGCTATGTGGGCAACTGCAAGAGGAATGTTATTCTGCACGCTTAGATATGTTGTCTAGGAAGTGTTGGCGTTCCAACGATAAGGAACCTCTCAGCTTGTACCTGCCCTGTGTTGATGAGGTCGGTGTAAGTTCCGGGCAGCTAAGGATCTCGCAGGACGTTTGGGGTCATCAGTTTTGAGCTGTTTGTATCCCGTAGACGGTAGGAACCGATGGACGAGGGCAACAGATGATGTATTGATGACTGGCAGCAACCGGTTTCATAGACAAACGGGTTAGTGAGCATCTTGAATTAAGCAAACATACAATCAATAATGGCGCAATCAGAGGGAGCAGAAAATAGTCAGCCAAATATAGGGGCCTCTCGAAACAGCAGAATGTGGGCACCAAACGATGTACCAACGTACAGATACACACAGTCAGTGTGAGTCGTTTGTGTAGGGGGATGACGGTGCAGAAAACAATCAATAAGTTTGGGATGTAAGGGACTGTCTTGATTAACGAAGCGATGCGGCAGCTCATTTCACGTGATTAATCAGCTTGGACGGTTATGTTTGTTTAAAACAAACCTCAACATAGTCTACCTGACAGATGCGGTATATGGGTAGTACGAAAATAGGTCCTTCTCAGTACCGAGGTTATGTAGCGGGCAGCACACTTGCCCACCATCCGAGGAGCTCTGATTTCCATTCTCGCTTGCTCCATTTTTCCGTCAGAGCGGACGCCCAAAAACAGGTAGAGCTGAGGTGAACTTGCAAGCAATAACGGATGGGCAACGAAATATTGACATCAGTTATCGGAGAACAAGCAAACCTCAAGTGGTGGCTAAACGGGAAA